ACCCAATTTTATACCTACATAAATTGCATTAAAATTTTAATATCATATAAAAATATGGCTATTATTAATAAAATATATCCATTCATGTGTAGATTTATAATATCAAAGTAATATTAATGTCAAAATAAATTCTAAATGCAGAAAATGCGGTAGGTGAGTAATTTTTCTACTGTGTATCTCTCACACGCGACCTCAACGCTCTCTTTGAGGGAATCTTGGCACCCGTGTAAGTCCTTGATTCCTGAGTGTCTTAGTGTCATGTTTGTCTAGGGGGTTGGCTATAACAATTGACAGGTTTTCTAAATGCCAATTTTCTTGTACTATTTAGGTCTCATCGCTGCAGCCTAGTAAGACTCATCGGTTTCAAAATCGGCGGTGAATACACCATTATACAGTATGGTTTGAATCTCGAATGCCTGCATGTTTCTTTTTTTTCTCTCTGTTCTTTTCTTGGTTATTGTACTACTACTGGAAGGATTTTGATGTGATTTCGTGAAATGATTGATTTTATGATAGGACTTTCAAATTTGGAAAACTCGTTAGAAATCTGATTCTATACTGCCTTAGAAAACTTGTGTGCTTATGTTTTACCAATACCACAATATGAGTTGTTGTTGTTCGTTTACTTTTAATTTTTGAATGCTGTCGCATGGTAGTTTATTTTCCATTTTGGTTTTCATAATATTAATTTTTTATTGCTTCTTTGTGAATTAATCACAGCTTTTGTGTGAATGAAACTCAGACTGGCGATCATTTTGTTGGCCGTTTCTCACAATGACTACTTGATTGCATGTAGTACTTTTTGGTTGAAAAAAGGATCTTTTATAAATTTTTCCACCATTGACTTGAGTTTTTGTTTTTTTCCTTCCTAAAATGTTCATTTTTTTGTTGAAATAATTCAATTTTGGTTCTACCTATGATCATTCTTGACAATATTTACTTGGCTATTCTCTTCTAGTGTTGACATACTGAAATCATTCCTTCAATCTTTTCAAATCTTAAAATATTTTCCTAAAATTGGCATAAGAGTATCAACTCATCATATCTATGATATCTTTGATGTTGTCAGTAGTTCTACAATTTTGCTACTAATGTTTGCTTGATATAATCAAGTAATCAATGTGCCTAGCTGATGCAAACTTTCAGTATTACTTCTTAAATCTTCTTCTAGCTCAACATGCAATTTTTCTGTTGAAATAGAGAGGAAGCAGATACTGCAAAACAATTTGTGTGGGAGCGTGTTTTTTTGAGAGTTAATATCTTCAAAATTCAAATTGAAACCTCATAATAACTCTTCAACACATTAAATCAGCTCATCTATGTGGATTTTTTTTGACTTATTTGTTTCTCAAGTAGGTTCAATTTTAAAGATGTGGTAACATTTAAGGAGATGACATGCTATACTCTCTGATACATGATGAGTTATTTGGTAGTCCTACTCTCTTTGAAGGAAGGAGTTGATTTTGTATGAGAAATAAAATTTATTTTAGCAAGTTTGATTCTAGTTTCTCAGATAAAACTTGACATGCCAGTTGTAATTGATTATAGTGGAATGATCCTTAAATGGTTTGAATTTAATGATGAATATACTTCACCAATATTGGAGTAAAGGTGGGGTAGGTACCTATTAAGGAGTTTGATGGCCATAGAGATTTATGGTTTGATTGTAGTATTGTTATTTGTTGGTTTTAGGAGTAACATTTAAAGACATCAGTTTTAGACGTTTAATTTTTTGTTGTAATTTTTCATCAGCGTTTATATTTCGTAACTAAATTTTATTTAGGTGGGCTTTTACATGTTGCACCTGTATTAGTTTGGAGGTTAGGGAAGGGTTCTTGAACCTAGAATGAATTTATAATGGTTTGGTTGACTCCAAAAATTCTAATTACTCACCAGACACTTTGCATTTTGTTTTATTTTTTTGAGAGTGTTTTTCGGGTTAAATTTTTAGAATGCAGATTGAATTGTAGAAAATACACTATATAGAGATTTCACTCTTATTTTGCGATGACTTTTTGATATAGGTTTTTAGGTTTCTCATAAGTGTAAGCCCCTATAGTTAATTACTCTTTCTCATAATAGTAGAGCACTTTAGATTAAGGCTAATCATCAAGAATTGAATGATCAACATATAATTACAACATACTTATGTTGTGAATTGTAAAATATATCACTTGAAGCTTAAAACAGATGATGGGAGCAAATGATGATGAAGCTGATCAAGATCTCATTTATCCATCGTCTCGGGTCATCATTGTCTATGATCTACTTAGTCACAAAAGGTACTCGACCTAACATGACTGAAAGATTCTTGTCAGCAAATATAGTTTGCGTTGCAAAATAGAACATTGTAGATATGATGTGAATGCTTTTCTAAGAGGGCAAATTCAAGTCTACCTTAGCTAATTGAAGGCTTTATGCTAATTAACAGTACTCTAATGATTCTAAACTCAAGTAGAAGAGAACCATTAGGGAACATACGGACTGCGACCGTGACCATAATATAATGGTGATATTTCTTGAGAACAACTAGGGTAAAGAGCTCTGGTCGTAACTGTTGCTTTGTGGTGACATTTTGCAGCAGAACTACACTGACATAAGACTCAGGCCACTCTCTTACTGGTGTGATATTACTTTGATTGTGAATATAAGTATACATTTGATATGATATTCATTATTTGTGAGTTGAAGTAAATAAAAAATTAGCCATCTTAGACAAATTGTTGTGTAGGGTGGATGGATTTTTTTTTCTAGTTGTTAAGCTATTAATTTTATTTATATATTAATTTGAAACTTATACTTAATGTTGGTTTCAAATTAACACATCCAATTCAGATATTCGGTCAACACAAACATCATTGGGGATTGTTTATTTGAAACTTTTATATTGGAAGGGATGTTTGATTTAATTAGTTAAGGTTTTTCAGAATATAAGTTATGTCTACTTCTGTCTTTACAAGTAAGAGTGTTAGAGTCGGTGATTTGGAATTGTAAATTCTCTTCTTTATGATTTTGACATTTATTATTACATTTTTTAAACTCGTCAACTTCAATCTTTGCGACGAGAAGGATTGGACTAATTGGGTGAGACTCACAACCTTGCCCTCTAGACAGGGCAACCCGATTGAAAAATGAAATAATTTGACTTGAATTTGATTTTAAAGTATGACGAGTTTTAACTTTAGAAAAAAAAACTTAGATTTTTTTAAAATTAATTTTGCACCCTTATTAGAGCAAGAACTATGTACAAGTTTAAATTTGTCCCATGTAACAATATCAAACCTTTCAATTTAAAATACTTTGTTTATTTCGGTGGAGCAAATGAGGGTATATAACTTTATATGTTTGCACACTTTTGAAGGATTTTGCATGCTTTGAGTGATTTAGATGAAATTTTAAAATATGAATTTGAGAGATTGTTTGTTTCAAAAAGAGCCATATGCAACAATTTAAAATCATGCATAAACTACTTTGTACCAGTTTGCACAACTAGAGAATATTCGAATTTGAAAAATACTCCATAGATCTCTAAGTATTGCATTTTGGATTTAATTTAGAAAATACTCATGAAATTTGTACCATTGACATGATTAAAACTTTGACATATTTGCAAGAATGGTCTTTTTATTTACATACCTTTATTTGAAGCTTAAAATGATTGCCTTCTGTTCACTTATAAATTTGAACTGTGAATTTGGTTGTGAGATTTTAAAGTTGCAAAAATTTCAAGCTTGAATTATTTTGAACACAAGAGCCTAAATTTTAAAGCTAAAAAAATTGAATATTTTTAAGCCTAAAGTGCATAAATTTTAAAGCTCAATCTTTTAAATTTTATCAAACCTTAAGAGCCTAAATTTTAGAACAAAAATTTTTTTAAATATTTTTAAATGTCCATATCTCACATATTCTTGAACTTCAGGTTCCTAAAAATTTTTATAATTGAAATTTCTACTTATTTAAAAATTTCCAAGTTTAATTTTTAAATCACATAAAAAATTGACAGCTTCCAAACGTCAACCCACATTAGGAGCACAAAGAGAATGCCAACATTCACAACCGTCTTAAAAGACTCGTTTTTCAGCATCATGAGACATTGTGGTGAAGAAGTAAAAATATTTATTTAGCTCGTGATCTTAAAATGTGTAATAGGTTTTCAATGTTTTAACAAAAAATGGTAAATCACATGCTAGCATTTCATGAGGGTAACTTATTTTCCCAAATAATATTTAATTTCCAACCACAGACACTTATATTTTCCAATGATGGGTATTTGCAAACCCCTAATTTTATTAAAATTTTTCAAATCAATTTGTTATTTTTTTCCTAATGATACTTATTCCCAAAATAAGAGAGAGTGAACACTTTAAAATTTTGCCTTTTCAACCCATTTCATTATAGAAAAAATATTAGCTTAGGGCTCCCGACATCCGGAGTCCTCCCCTAATTCGGGGAAAAAATTTGCGTGCGATAGACGTAAGCAGCGCTGCGTACGATATTGAGGTTATACCGAGGGTACAAGGAAGTTATATCCGATGTATAACCCCTTGTAACATCCCTGTAACCTTCTGTAACTTATCTGTAACCTACTAATAAATTCATAATATATGATAACAGAAGTGCGAAACTTATTTTAGATTACAGGTAGGTTACATAATGTTACACAAAGGTTATAAGGGGCTATACTACGGATATAATCCCCTTATATCCTCGGTATAACCCCAATATCTCAGCAGTAGTCTATCACACACAAATTTTTTCACTAATCCGGAGTCCTTCTCTAATATTTTCTCTCTCATTATATATTACTAAGGAATTAGGTTCGGATGGGGTCGGGTTGGTGATTGGGCAAAAAGGTTAGGGATCGCGAGCTTCCGGCGATCGAGCGGTGGGCTAGCTTGGAGAGTCGCGTGGCACGGCGAGGAGGAGCGCGTAACAGCGGAAGGCTAGGGCAGAGCCTCGGCCGCGTTTGTTTGGGGGGAGCGGTAGGGAGACGAAGGCGGTAGGGAGCCGAAGGAATCCGGCGGCTAGGGCAGACGAGGAAGATCAGAGCTGCCGGTGGTGCGGCCCTGTGCGAGAGAGGAGCGGCCTTCTGTTTGAGCGCGGAGGAGGGAAACAGGGACGGAGTATAGAGCGGCAGAAGGCTCTGAAGGGGAGTACGAAGGCGAGGTCCTCCGAAAACTGTTGTGAATAGGAAGAACAGTGGAAACGTACGGGGGCGGAAGGACAATGGAGACTTGCAGCTTTTCACTGGAGAAAGCAAGAGGAACGGAGTGTAAGAATCGCAGAAACAGCAAGTGAACAGTGGAAAGACTTCGACGGGTTGAGACGGAAAAGGGTTCACGCGACTTGTGTGAACAGGAGGAGAATATGTCGATGGTTTCGGTAGTCTTATGCTGCTGGATTTGCGAGACGAGGAAGAGGAGACGTCGGGTTGTGTGGTAAAAGGCTTGGGCGGAGAGCGGGCTTCAACAGGTAGATAATTAATTAATTACTTAAAGTTTTATTTTCTTTCTTTCTTTACTTTATTTCACGGTCAACAGTGACCTCTTTTTTACTCCTTTTTCTTATAGGTTCCTTTTTAAGTTTTTTGTGCTAAACATGTGTATCATAGATAGATTGTTATCATTGAAGTAAGATGTGAGGTATCGAATTTCACTGTAGTAATGGCTTTTACAATTGTACGTATAATGTTAAAATAATTATACAAACAAACAAAAGTAGCACCAAAACTAATATTTTTTTTCTGTATTTAATTTTTGCAGATTGTTGGATGACATCCACTTGGACTTGCGAATTCCCATTTAGCTGGTAATTGATTATAAAATTTTAGTAGGAAACTCTGACTTAATCCTCACTATACTAAATTGTATGAATGTATGCTGGTTTGTCAAGAGGAGAAACAAACAAATGTGGAATTGCAAATTTTGAATCCTTAAACTATAGAAATTACAATAACATTATAGAAGTAGATTATGAATTGGTAATTTGAAAAGTTTTAGTTAGGTGATCAATTTAGGGAGATGTTACAAAACCTTTTAAAAAACTTGTTATATGATGGGGCCATAGATGTTATAATTTAGTCAATTCATTGAACATGCTAAGGAAAATATTTTAAAAAATAGTTGTTTAGAATTTTTTCAGAAAGATTCGACAAGAAATATAAATAAAATTGTAGTTCTTAGTATTTAAAGAATAACATTTCATAGATCAATACCATTGAAAAAAAAACTTAAGGGCATTTACATGCATATCGCACAATGCTTTTGTATTACATATCTCATACCTAACTTTCAAATTTACACACATAGCACTTAAATTTTAATATCACATAAAAAAAATAGCACCATTACCACTTGTAAAATTGAAATTCACCTTTTCATGCATAGCATTAAAACTACAATGTTCTATGCATGTAAATATGAAATTTTAGGTGTGAGATATCTAAATACATAAGAATTGTGTGCTACGACTGTAAAATTCCCAAAAAATTAATGTCAAATGCCTTTGTTTATGAAATTACTTTATTTCTCGCGTAAAGATCTCTCTTGTAGGGTTGTCAAAAAGCTTGTTGTTTACGAACAACTTGTGTTTGGCTCTTTAAGGGCCCATTTTGGGCAGCTTATAAGTGTGGGGGCGTTTTTGAAAACACCGCGATATCGTTTGGATCGCACGTTTTGCCCGCTTATCCGAAAACGTGGTTACCCAAAATCATGGTTACATTTTTACACTAAACGCAGGCCGCGGGTCGACCCCTGCGGTTGACTCACGGGCCGCGTTTTAGGATAAGCTGTTTATACTGAAACGCACAAGCTGCCACAAACACTTCATAAGTAGCTCGTAATCGAATCGTTCGTTAAGTAAACAAGTCAAACATGAACAAATTTTTTAAGCTCAAATTATAAACAAAACAAACACAAAAAAACCTTTGTTTGGTCTTGTTCAACTCATTTTAGCTCGAAATAAATAAATTATATATATTATTTATATAATTTATTATGTTATATTTTATATAATAATATATTATATATTTATATTTAAATTTAAATCATAACAACTTCTGTGGTGATGTGGTTATGTGCTTTTATTGCACAAAATTTGTGCAAGTTCGAATTTAACAGTTCACATCTATTTTTCTAATTAATTTAAACGATCCAATTTCAAGCTGAGCCCAAATAATAATATGGAAATCGAGCCGAACATGAGCGCATTGTTGATGATCAATTTCGAACACGAGTCAATTTTAAACGTGCCAAGCACGAGCCAAGCCTGAGCTCGCTCAAGCTCTGCCCTTTTGCAACCCTACTATCTTGTGATCATAAATATATATTTTTTTGAATTATAATTTGGGCATTGGACCTCTTATTATGTAAAGAAAATAACTATAAACAAAATAAAGGTTGCAATCTATAAGAAAAATAGAGAAACAAAAAATATACTAATTAAAGGAAAGTGTCACGCCCCATGAAGGCCTCTCTTAGCCGACATAGAGCTTGGTGCAAGTCAAGTAATTTAGTCTATTGCTAGCGCCCATATTGAAACCGATCACTAGAATAAAGTGAGGGTTGAACTTAATTACATGAATGCCCAAATATATAGTTTCATATAATTCCCAAAAAAAGCTCCTTCAGAATTCATATGTTTCCAACTTTGAGTCATTTCTTCTACAATTGACATCAATGTGTATGTTGAAGGATTGCTCAATCTAGTGTGCTGTTAACAAATTATATCAAAACTTTTTTTTTTCAATCCTCCTTTTATTTTTTGATTCCAAACACTTATATGTCTTGTTCAGATAATTATTATGTTTTAGACTCCCCTTAAACTTGAGAATATATCCAGAATTTGGGATACTTTAGGTTTGCTGAATTTCTTCTACCTCTACACTGCTATGAAGAGAAATTCCTTAATCTTCAAGAAGAGTCTTATGATCAAGCTCAGCATTATCTGCTTTTTTTCTTGATATTTGAAAATTTATTTCTTTCTGTAACCTGCTGTGGTTTACTTCTCAGTAATCTGCTTGTATCATTGATCGAGGGAGTTAAAACGCTTCTTTTGATTTATTTCTGTTGATCAGCTCAACAAACTTTTGTTTTGGGTCCTCCAAATTGATGTTAATTGCCCTCTTTCATTCATGATGCTAACTTTTTTTTTCATCCATAATTTCTTCAAAACTTTCCATGTATTCTTATCCATTGAAATTTAAAACCTTCAATTTCTTTTTCAATTATCCTGATTTTTTATTTCTTGTGCTACACATATCTTTTTGTCAACCCTCACACCTTTAGCATTTTATTTTCTGATCTGGATTTTATCTTTATCTCCCTTATTTTTTTCTTTTGGCATTGTCAAAGACTTGTCTTTGATCCTTTTGTGCTTTTTTTTCTTTATTAAACACCTGGATTTATTGACAATCCAAATTTTTAAGCTTAATTTTTTTGGAGTTCTTAAGTAACACTCTTTTCCGTTGTGTCTATCCATCCTAATGTGTTTCCCAAAATTTGAAGTAATGACCTCCGGGGCTTCATAATTCCTGTAGCAGAAAATACAAGCATTGTAAAGCAATTCAAACATAAACAACATTTATTTAGGAGCGGTCTTATACTTTTATCCCATTTACTAACCATCAATTTAACTCCTCAAAATTTCATGCATCCCTTACTAGCCAAACTTAAAAGAATTTAAACATTTAAACTTCACAAAAAAAATTTCGCCTACCAAAGGGTACTAGAGAAAATCGATCCAGTTTTATATTCCATTTTAACATATTGACCATTTCATTTCTTAAATTTAAAGAAAACTGAAAGTTTGTGAAGACATTTTATTACCCTCTACCACTTTATGATATGACAACTATTTTGCGTTCATCAACCCTTGAAAAGGACACAAGTAAATCTTACGCCTTCCTCCTACAAGTATAACAAATGGTGTCATTTCCACATTTTCTTGCAATAAGCCTTCCAACATTTATAGCATTTTTATGCGCCATTTATACCTCTGGAAAAGAAATTGCTGAAGTGCAGAAGCAACTTTACTTGTACCATCTCAGCAAAGAATTATTCTTTTCTATCTTCAGTCCCATTTATAGATATCCCAAATACATTCCTCTGCATTCCCTGATATGCTGCCCTCGAACACTTAAAGCATTACATGGTAGGTCTTTTTCTATGTGACTTGAAGGAATAGGTGGCTGAATTTGCAATTATATGACAAGGTCTTTTTCTATGTAGATTAGAGTAGTCTTTTCCTCTTGTTGGTAAATTCTTTTCTTTCGTTCTTTCTTTTTTAAGTTCTACACATTAATGATGATTCACAATACTGAACTTGAATTTTACCATTGCATCAACATAATTGCTAAACTTTATTCACTAAACATTTACTATCTTAAAACTTAACTAATACAGGTCTAATTTACAGCAATATTTGAATCATTGTTCTTTGCATGATCTCACAATCATGTACTTAAGAACTTCACCATTGATTTGAAGGATTGGTGTTTATTGTAAAACCAGTTGATTTTAGGGCGCCCTCATATTGTTATGCAATTACTCTGAAACCTTATAGTTAATTCCTACATAATGATTTCTTTTGTGGACATTTCTTATCCATGATTTGGATTTTTGGCAATTTAATCATCAGGATGAGCTCTCCAGAGATTATTGATTTGTGTAGCGATGATGAAGCTGAATCAGAAAATATTAAAGATGTTAAGCCTATTATATTATCAGCACCTTCTAAAGGGACAGCTGGCAACTCTTCAATAATTGCTTCTGTGCATTTCCCTGATGACAAGTTTCAACCTATTACAACTTTTAGGAATTCGTATCATCAACCTTGCAGGCAATTTTGGAAATCTGGAGATTATGAGCTGGATCATACTATTGAATCATTACCTAGAAGTATCTTGCTAACTTATATTTGTTAATTTATATGACAGATTTAAGATAGCACATTCAGATTGATGCATGTTTTTTGTGCTCTTAGATGGCAAGAACCGCTTGCGGATCCATCCCAAGTTTCTCCATTCAAATGCAACTTCACATAAATGGGCTTTTGGTGGTATGTTCAGTATTTTTGTAGAGTTTCATCCTTTTCTTAGACAGTGGATGCATCATCATCATATATGTTTCTTTTTCTAATGCTTTCTATATAAAATTTTCATGTTTTGGCAGCAATAGCAGAGTTACTGGATAATGCAGTTGATGAGGTAATCATTATTACACTTGTTTAATATTATCTTATTGGGAGATTTACTTATATACCACATAATTCTTATGAATTTACATATCTTACACCTAAAGTTTTATATTTAGATTTATACTACCTTGTGTTATAACCTTATGCATAAAAAGTGCGTTTAACTTTTACAAGGTTAGTAAAAGTGGTATTTTTGATGTAATGTTAAACTTTGGAGTGTTATGAATATAAATATTGAAGTTTAGGTGTTCGATATGTAAATACATAATAATTGTGTGGTATGTATGTAAATGTCCCTATCTTATTTGGGTGGGAGTGTGGGGCGGTTTTGGTTGAGGGAAGATTAAGCACATTTCTATTTATGATATTTTGAATAAAGCATGTTTACTGCTTTTTCTTTCTTTTTTATTTTTTTATGAAACAAGGATGATAATGAGATCTATGTGATACTTATGATAGAGGAGAGTTGAAGTGCCAATCAGGTTAGATGCACTGAGAGAACCTATAGGTGAAGGAGGAAAGGATTGCTAGCAAAAACTGAACTAGATTTTGTAAGAAAATTGCAATGGAGTAAGAGAGGTAGCAGGAGCTTGTTTGTTTAAATTTGCTAATTCATGTTTTGAAAGTGTCGTCAGTCCTGAGAAAATTTAGAAATTTTAAGCAGAAGGACCTGGATAAATAAAAATTGAGATTTGAAAAGTCACGAGGGACAGTAGAATCCTCTGTTTACTTAATTTATTGAATTGAGCTTAGGGAAAGGTAAGAATAATGAACCTTGAGAGGCTTTATAGATTTTAGTAATATACCTATCAAAGGCTTTGTGTAACTTAGCCATATATGGACCTTTTTTTTTTCCGCATTGTACAAAGCTCTTGCACAACACGAAAAAAATGACAATTTTTTTATATTTACCTTTTCTTTTGTATTGTACAGAGCTCGTACACAACAAGAAGAAAATGAGATTTTTTTTCTTATAGACCTTTTGTTTTGCTTTGTGTGAGGTGAGCTTGGAAAATGCACAAATTTGGCCAACACATCATATTGTTCTCGTTGACTGCTTTTGCTGCTAGATTTTTTTAATCCGTAACACCTTTTTTAACGACTATATTGATTTGACAGTTTCCATTTTTTCTGACATATAATAGGTTCAAAATGGTGCTACGTTTGTCATCATAGATAAATTTTCAGATTCACGGAACGGTGATCCTGCATTACTTATTCAAGGTGTAGTATGCTTTTGGGTTCCATAGACTCTCTTAAAAGTTAACATGAATTATCTTAATTGCATTTTTTTAAATTTTTTTTGTTGGTTTTGTTTCTAACATAATCTGTTTGTTCTAAGATGATGGAGGTGGAATGGATCCAGAATCGTTGCGGCGATGCATGAGTTTTGGGTTCTCTGACAAGCAGTCTGGGTCAACCATAGGACAATGTACTGAAAGTTCGAATTTGAATTTTAAATGTGAGTTTTTTCCCCCTATTACTAATTATGGATGCCTTATCTAGATGGAAATGGTTTCAAGACCAGTACTATGCGGCTTGGAGCAGATGTGATTGTCTTCAGTAGTTGCACGAAGATAAGGTTGCTCATGAATTCTTAAGTCTAACTTTCTATTTATGAATCACCAATACTGGCATGCTAAACCATGTTTTCTTGAAGCCACAAGTTCTTAAATTTAATTTGACTTTAAACTTGATAATATTAGTTCAGTACTCTTATGCGAACACTTTGTGCTTATGACAACTGTGTTTTCAACGTTTGGCTAAGAGATTTATTGAGAGTTTTGATTCATTGATCTGATCTATGAACCATTTTTCCCCTATATTTTATGAACAGTAAGACCGTGTATATTTATCTATATCGTCTGTCTTGAGGGGCACAGCTGTTTAATAAACATTATTTCTATTGCAAAAAATACAGAATCTCATTTAGCTTAAATTCGACATGATGTACAACTTGAACCCCTAAAGTTGGTCGTAGTGTCTTATGCAGTGTGTTTCGTTACTTTTGCACTGTTTTTTGGATTGGAAATGTGTCTTCTTTTCCTGTTAATTTTGTACTTCTAATTTGTTTACCCGTTTGTTAGATGAAGAAAAGAGGGATTTGTGATGCTTATTTTTCTTTTCTCAGACTCATCAAGTCACGGGGCAGTGTTTATGAATTTTAGATTGATATCTGTAGATTTTGATTTGATGTTATGATCGTCCTACCCTTTTTTGTACTAGTTTTTTTTTACCAAACTTTCCCAAATCTACTCATCAACAACATCAAGCCTTTATCCCACTAATTGGGGTCAACTACGTGACACATTTTTTTCACAAGTGTCCTATTGAGTATCATATTTTTATTTAATTCTAATCTACTTACCCAAATCTGCTGAAACCTGACGAAAATGAATAAATAATCTACTAATGCTGGCTCAGGTTCCTAGAAATAAGCTACTCAAGATTAAGAGTGCGACATGAAGCTGAAGGGCTCAATTTGAAGAAATCAAAAACAAATAAACATGAAAAGGCGAAGATGAAGCTTCCAATGGATCTGGACAACCTGAAGCTGGAGGAAGATGAAGATGTGATCCAGAGCTAGAAAGGAAACAAGAAATTGGATTCAAATAAGAAGGATGGATCCAGAGTTTACTATGGTGGCAGAGTATTTTTCTGAGCGTTGAAGCTAATGTTCTTCATTAGCACTGATTAGTGAAAGTTTATAACTTTGATTTCTTCTTAGAAAAAAAATATGTGCCGAAATGTTCTTATAATGTTGACGTTTTTTGATAATTTGTAATTGTTGAATCTAAAACTGTCCTTTGGACTGTGCCAAAGGAATAGTGCTGGATTCCGTGGTCTGGAGAAGGAGAGGGAGAGAAAGAGAGAGAGAGAGTTGCCCCGTTGGGGCAAATAGGGGTGGTCCCCGAGCTCGACAACCTCTTCTATTCCGCACAAGTTTATGTACAAGTGAGAGAAGGGGAGCAAGCTCCCTACATGAGGGAGAGAGAGAGAGGGCCTAAAAGAACCTCTTTTACATTCAAGGGGCTCTTATTTTATAGTGAGAAGTAAAAGGGGAGAGAAAATTACAGATATGACCCTGTTTATAGGGGAGCAATGAGGGGTAATATAGTCTTTTATGTGCTTGGATTTGCCTTTTTGAAGCTTTCGCGTTGGTCTCGTAGGCATTGAGTGGTCAGGCTAGGTAGTTGTTCTTGACTGGCCGAGGTGGCCGTTCATCTGGAGGCTGCTGACCATCTTTCTTCATTGTGGCTGACCCATTATGGTCTACCAGCAAGGATGGTCTGCCAAGTTGGCCGGTCGGGTGATGTTTCATGTGGTCGACCCAAATGACAGACTGAGGTTGGCCGACCTAAGTGATCGGTTGAGTTTGGTTGGCCAAGGTGGCTAGCCGACCCAGGTGGTCGACCAGTGAGTGGCTGTTGACCAGGATGGCCGACAGTGAGTGACCGGCCTAAGTGGTCGGCTACCAAGTAATCGGCCTACCGGGATGGCTGACCAACTGGATGTCAGCGCTTTGTAGGTGCTGGCGATAGCTCCGGTGACGAGGCCTTCAACAATGGCAGATTCTTTAGCTTGTCAAGGCCTTTTTTAGGTTATAAATGAAGCCCACAAGTTTTTCACTTCTTGGAGGCGAATATGCGAGAAGAATGGAAAACTCATTTGTCTCTAAAGCATCATTCCATAAGCCTTAAATTTTTAACAATCTTCTTGCTACTTTTTATTCAATAAGTCTTTTCGAAAAATAATCATCTACTATTGTTTAGATTTGTGGAGAATATAATCAAGCTTGCTTTTTATATTTTTAGGTCGAAAAGTTCCCACAACTCAAGCTTGCTCCGGGCCCATCATGATCTTGGTCTCAAAAGTTCAGTTTCATCCGTTTTAGCAGTGCAATCACTTTTGTCGCTGTTGTCACTATTATAATTATTCAATTCAATTGAGTAATTGCCAAAAAGATATTCCGGAATTAAGTTATGTGAATAGCTAACATCGTAGGTAATCAAAATCATATTGGACCATGTTAGGGAAAACAAATATTTTTACTCAATAGAAACTGAGTTGCAATTGAAGACACCAAGAATAAGAAAAACGGCACAAAATAAGTACCCCACTAGGGCAAGGTTGAGGGTGGTGGTGTTGTGTTTGGAGGACAAGCATGCGTGGAAGTAGTGGAATGGTCATAACGCAGCAAGGAATGACTGTGGTTGGCTGTCGAATGGGACGGATGTGGGCGGCAACAGGGTAGTAGGAGATAGAGGCAGCAGGAAGGTGGTGGCAGGGTGTTGAAAGTGGTTTGGTAGGCACATAGCAGCAGGGCGATGAGGTAGGTGTCTGGGAAGTAGGTGGCAAGGAGCAGCAGCGGCAGCAAGGAAGGGAGAGGAGATGATTGGGACTGTGAGCCAGCAGCGAGGCCGGTTGCTGGGGGTAGTAGCGGTAGCTGGGGAGAGAAGAGGGCAAGAAAAACAAGGAGATAAGCACAAACTCGGAGCAGGATGCAGTGGGATCACGACTTGTCTAGGGACACAACCTTACGGAGACAGACGCCGACGGATGAAAAACTCAAGAAAAACTGACTTAAAGCACAACAATTAACAAATATATAGTTCTAGGGTAAAGAGGAGTGGGACCTGCTCCAAATAGGAGGGAACTGTGCAAGATTGGTCCTTCTCCTTCTGGAACCGGTTTGGCGTGTGCAACAATTGTCGCGCGGCAAAGGCGCCCTGCACCAATAACTTGATAAAAGATGGAACTAGATTAAAGGGATTTACCTTTGAATATTCTTTTTTTTTCCCCTCTGTAGACTATTATTCCAGAGTGCAGAACAAACCACCATAATGAGCAGATTTTTTGGCAGAATTCTGTGCTTTTTATAAGCAATCCAAATCTATCAGATTTTATTAGGAAGAGTTTGTGATAAACAGAGAGATGTAATTATTGATAGTTCCAGATAGCTTGGGGAAAGTTGCATCTATAAAAAAAAGAGGCTCAATGTTCTTGCTCATCATGACTGCGTTTATTAATAATTATTTTGAGAAACCATGCAGAAATTTTGACTTTATGGTGAATCTTAGTTCTGATAGTATTGGAATATGGGGAGGAAGCACTACCGGTAGGAAGAAGACGGTGAAAAAGTTAAACAGCAAGTGTGGGATAATCTTTGAAAGCCTGATTCTTATCAATATTATTGAAATATAAGTATTGGAAATACTAGAATTACATTTTGATAATGATTCTTTTTGGCATTATCAAGGTCTCTACTAATGGTGTAATACAAGGTGCCATTATTCCAATTTTATTTCTAGCCTGCAGGAAACTTATGAACATAGAGGTCAAAAAAGTTATTAAAAACCAGGAAATTAATTGGCAGAGCATGACTTCTAACAGAACAAAAGGAACTAAGACCTTATTACTGAGGATTGCAATGTAATGTGCCATTATTCCTTTTTTATTTCTAGCCTGCAGGAAACTTATGAACATAGAAGTCAAAAAAGTTATTAAAGACCAGGAAATTAATTAGCCGAGCACTGACTTCTAACCGAACAAAAGGAACTACGAACCTTATTTCTGAGGATTGTACACTCATACCCGTACGCCAATCTGAAAGTGCATCCAGTTCTGATTTTATCTTTTCATAAGGAATAAGCCTTAGTTAATTTTAAGTTGAAAATACCAATCCTTTTTAGTGAAGAACTTCTTGTGAGAAATTCCAAGTTGGCTGATAGGTTGTACGAACCATGTTTTGGGTGATAAAATAATCAATAATGGTCAATTTAAGCATTTAAAAAATAAGTATTTTAAGATGGTTGTGACAAGATTTAGTTGGTTAGATTGATGATAGATTTCATTAGAGGAGCAATGGAGAAGCTTAAAGATAGACTTTGGTGATTTGGTTACATATAATGATTGAAAGAACATGCACTCATAGCATGTGTGGAGAAAAGTAGTTCTGAATGATTACAGAGGATCTTGGCTCTAGTGGTATCTTCTGATTTCTTGGGCATTGTTCTTCGGTTTGAGATCTAGTGTCATGAAGAATTTCTTTTGTTAGGGTATAGGGTTTAATCATGACCGGACTTGTGGAAGAAAAGAAACTATAATTGGCCTTCTACTCATCTTGTATTAATAAAAAAATTGGGATAAGTTTTCGTCCTTTTAAAAATTGTGAAAAAAATGAAGAATGGGTCTACAATGATAACATGAGCAGAAGATGTGCAAGAATATCTGCTCATATTTGGTTTAACACAGTATTTAGCACTCAACAAGAATGAATTATGAATGAGGATTCATAAAGCTAACCACAAATGTTGTGATATGGCTTATGACATTGATGATGCATATGATGAACTAATTGAGCATGATCTTATGTCTTCTTAAGTTCTGCCATCGTTTGCTATCTATCTCGTATGACTAATAGGCATCTATTTATGGCAATCCAAATGTGGTCTGATACACCAATCATGACAAATTTTTCCTTTGTCAAAACAGATCGATACACCCTTGATTGTAGAAAATCCATGTCATATATACACTTAACACCTTACACAACAAAAGTTAGATAAGCACAACAAGAAATGATGGAGGTCCACTCTCTTCCTCTTCTAAAGCAATGAGGAAATGAGTAGCATCAATTACACCTGATTGGCTTATACTAAGTATATTTTTTAATTTTTAATAAGAGGAAGAGGAGCCGTGCTCAATGACTGTAGCGCTTTCAACTTTTTCCTTCTCTCATGGGCTTAACCTTGTTTCTCTCTTATTCTTTATTTTGTGGCTTGCTTATGCAGCTTCTCCTATGCCTTCCTCTCACTTGCCTGATAAGTTTTTCTCTTTACGAAGTATTTTTTGTTCCCTTCGCCATTGGCAATGGACCTATGGTGCCACTGCCACCTCTGCATATTTTAGGCACCTTTGTTGAGAAATTCATATTTATGCCGTCCCATCTTGTGATCATGGATATTCTGCACATGGTGGTGGGCTTTTTTTGGATAAAATCTAGATCATTTTTGATCTTCCCTCTCACAATATTTTGAACCACTCACTCTTATCTCTCCCCTTTTGTTTTTCAACTTTAGACGTTAGCTTTTCATTATTCGCTAAATTTGTCCTTTTATACTGGTAAACCTTGTTCTTGTTCTAGTTAATCAATAAAGTTGGTAGTCAGAGCCTTTCAAGTACTTCTTCGTTCTCACACTTGACATCTCATTTTGTATGTATGTCTCTCTTGAGCCCAACAATCGTCATTTTCTGGTTTACCATTGCTCTTTTTTCTCTAAAGAGGTTGTTTCAATATGGCATTGAGTCTGCTTTGCCAACAGACCCAAACTAACACCTACTACTATATGGCTGCAGCTACTAACCTCCTCTTTTTGCTGCTGCTCTTCTGCTACCAATACTTCTTCCTCTTCTAATACCAGTACTTTTTGATCATTTGGGTATTTTTACTTTTTTGCCTCAGGACGTTGTTACTCCTATTAACTATAATTTTGTTGCTATTTTCTGCTGCAAAATTAGCTACAGTCAAAATATTCGACTTTGGAGTTGTTTACTTTAACGAGCTTCTATGTTTATATGCAGATGTTTGAAATGATTATGACTTTTAAATCTAAATTTAAAATGAAATCTTGTTCTTACACTTGTGCTTCAGCGGGCTTTCCTAATTGCAAATATCCTGATTACAACAGTAAATCAACTCGGAGTATTGGGCTACTTTCTTATACTTTCCTAAGGCAAACAGGATGTGATGACATAGTGGTCCCTGTGGTATGATTGACTATAGAATGTTCTTTCCACTAATTTTTATGGCTGATTTATTTATGAATTCTTAAAAAGAAATATGCAAGATTAACTTTTATGTGATACTTTCTTTATGCTGTCTTTGTTATAAATGCAGGTTGATTATGAGTTGAATTCTTTAACTGATGCGATGGTTCATCAACTTCGCGTTGATGAAAAGCAGTTCGCTTCAAATTTGACCACACTCTTGAAATGGTCCCCCTTTCATACAGAAGCTCAATTATTGAAGCAGGCATGTTGCAATGTGTTTTTTCCTTGAAAATTATGTATTTTGAAAGCTACTTTGTTCATTATGCTGTGTCAGAATCTTTATCGGTACTGACGCTGCAGGAAAAAAAGAAAAAAGAAGAAAAAAAAAACTATCTTAACAAAAACCTGCAAGCCTCATTCAGTCTCTGCAAAGTTTGAATAATAAATTTGTGGTCTTTCGTTGTTGTGAGCATGGCTATTTTACTTTTAATTTATTGAATATGAAGAAAGGATTTTTACCATTTAAGTCATCTTTTGTTTTAATCTTATTTTTTTTGTATGCCTGGTGCTTTTTTCAATAGAAATTAACAAACTATGGATTTACTAAATGTACGTTTGTATGAGGAATTTATGGCTTTCCAATTTTATAGCATGGCTATTCTTAATATTTACTGATAATGGAGATTAGAATTTTACTATTTAACTAATATTTTGGTTTAATCATTTTTTTTGTATGCTTGATATTTTTTCCGTGGAAATAAACACACTTATGGTTGTACTTAAGGTGCATTTGGTAGCATTATATTTACTTACTGTATTAATGCAATCATATGTTGATTCTGATTAAAAGTAGACGAATGATGAAAAAATCAAGAATTATCCTTTCATCAACAATCTGGAGATTTGATATTGTTGGCCTTGAAATATAGTACTTTATTGCACCGTACCATCTATTAATGTGTTGGTTTTGCATTGGTATGTTTAACTTTTAGACTGGAAGGAGAAGAGTGGAATATATTAGCTTCTTAAATTCCTAGCAACTTTGAAGATTTGAATTGTAGAAGAGTAGATTCAATGATTCATATGTGCACACTCACTAGGTTTTCGAAGTCATACTTCTTTATTTACTTTTAATAAGTGGTTTGGGAAAAGGGCTATTCTCAAAGTATAGAAAGCATTTGTTTTAGTTTCTGTACTCCGTAAGTAGGAGCAATCAAAAAAGCCCAATGGTAGAAAGTGATGAAAGTTGAAGTTAAAGAATGATGTTTAAAATGAGGATATTTTAGGAATATGTCTTGAAATTTGTACAAAATCAAAATTTCTATTTAATTTATTTTCTCTTGTGCAATATCTGACTTTGTATACAACTTAGGTGGATTGAGATCGTGCGATTTGTGGGGTGAGATGATTTTTTATAATAAATATATTTTTTTTGACTTTCTCACCCTTGATTCTATTGTAATGAAATATATTGAGTTTAGTTTTTTTTCAAATTTATTTTTATTGAAATTATTTTCTTAGAAACAAAAAAAAATGTATTTCAGTTGATTAATGTTGTTCATTAATATAATAAATAAAATCAAGATTTTATAAATGCTTACTAATGTATAATTAAGGCTGTTTGTTACCAAAGTGTATTATATTTTGGGCATTACAATGATACAAGAAAGAAAAACTGGTCAATGGGCGTTGGTTATATTTTTCTACCATGTGGCCGCCATATAGAACATAATCACTAGTAAAAATAGGCTATTAAATATATCTATCAAGCAATTGAACTTTTATTTCCTATTGTTGATCTCTTACCCTCGCATTACCCAATCAACTCCTATGACAAATCTTAAAGATCGATTTAATGTCTCAAATAATTATAATTCTAAAAAATCTTTGGCAAAAATCACATGCTAGTCATCGTGCTGTTTTCTTTGGCTTGAGCTGTCTCTATCAACAATTCTCAGGAGCTGTTTCTCTATGCTGCTCGGGTGACTCGTCATATTTGTTTCTCTTGGTATGTGCAACTATGTTGCTCGGTTAACTCATCGACTCCCTCATTGACCTACATCGCTTATATTCATATTGGCCATCCTATCTTGGCTTTTCTATGGACTATTGCCACGTTGAAGCTTGTTTGCAGACTATCATCATGCTGCAACTGTGCCTGTGGTACTTCACCTCGTCTCGACTTCGCTTTAGGTCCATCATCCAGTCCCATATCATCTTGACTTTTCGTTGCTTGATTATCTTTGACGGCTTCAAGTGTTTGATAGGTTAAGTAATTATAGATTCTAACAAAAAATAAAAAAAGTTCATTCATAACAAAGATTATCTTCTCAAAATACTTTATATTTCTGTCTCATTCATGACATTTTCACATAATCTCGTGATGTTGTTTTAAAAATAATTCATTAGTTTCGTTTGTGGCATTATTTTTAATTCCTTAAAAAGTTTAATGGGCTAAATTGAACCATTTATATGCTATGAGACTAAAATGATCCCCATGAATAGTCTAAAGGGATAAATTGATGCTTTTATATACTTCGAGACTAAAATAATCCCCACATATAGTTGTGGAATTTTTTGGTACTTTTCTCTAAGTAGTATATGGTGTTATTATTTTAATTAATGTAGGTATTTATTCTTTCCATGTCAAATTACTTTTGGTTCACCCTTTTTTGTTCTTGCATTTCATGTCGATTCCATGTATTGACCATATTGTTCATTTTGTTTTTCATTGATTTTTTAGTACTCGTAAGTCCAATTATTTAGGGTTGGCTTGGGATCGATTTTTGTCTGCTTTGCTTTCATATTGCCGCCACAGTTCTATTTGAGGAATTGCTTTCTTGCTGCTTTTTAGAAATTTTTGCGGTAGAAAATAATTTTTTTAACCTAACCTGTTAAAGTGTGATGGTTGTTAGAAAGCTGCGGTCTGACTTTTTGAAAATAAAATAAATTTGTAATAGCCGCTGTAGCTTTTGAAAAACAGTTTGTTCAAAAACAACTTTATAGTTTCTTCTTAAAATAGCTGCAACTGCCTCAAACAGACCCTTAACCTCTTCTTTTGTTGTGCTGCACAATAATTTTACACCTTATCCATATTTTAATATTTGTCACTTATGACTATGATGTCTTTAAGTTTTTTTGCATAATACTCTGATAAATAAAGCCTAATTTATATTAAGTTTATAAATTTTACCTTATATTCTCCATACCATTCTCTCATCGCTTCAAACTTTAGGAATATTTTGCCATTTTAGGCACACTGTTTCATTGTTACTTTTTTAGTGTGGAATCAGTGCATTATTGTTTTAGGACTGATATTTATTATTAGGCTTTGTTCTGTGAGTTTTGTCTATCATCACATGCTAGCCATGTTTTACTCACGCATGGAGAAATCGATATTTTTTGAAGCTAGTAATGTTTGCATCATAACTATATGGAGGAAATTTAGAATGGAAAGCAATGAGCTTCTGTATCATGTGCTATTTTGATTTAGACATTTAATGGCACAACTCCTAAAGAATTTTATGTCTTGTAATATTTTTGACATATGATGTGGTTTGTGGTACCCATATTATTGATAAGCAAATCCATTGAATTCCACATGCTAGTTTAAGGGGTGATTCTGCATTTCCTTGCTTGTTTATTACGTTACATAGTTTTGGTTATTGCTAGTTTTCTTGAATTTCATTACTTTATATTTATAGCATGCCTTACCCCCTTGTCTGAACCATTCAATTATTTTTAATTTTTTTTTACTGGAGGGATCTTTTTACTTATTTAGTGCTTATTCAGAAATTGAAATTCACATTTGCTTTGAATTTAATGAGCAGTTTGATGACGTAGGACCTCATGGAACCAAAATTATCGTGTTCAATCTGTGGCACAATGATGCTGGTGTTATGGAACTTGATTTTCACACAGATTCCGAGGTAGAATAGCTTCCTGTTACTTTTATCTTTTATATATTCTTTTAAATCTGGTACTTCAATTCATGCCTGCCCTACAATTCTTTGCATTCCCTTCTTGTTGATCCATATATATTTTTTATTAATTTATTTTCATTGTTGTTTTATCTGTTTTTTGCTACATATCTGATAGTTTTATTATTCTCATGCCTATCTTTGAGTTAGCTTGCAATGAAATGTTTATGAAGTTATTTTTCCCTTCTTGCTCGTGCTTGCAGGATATATTGATCGCTGGAGGGCAAGCAGAGCAAACGAAAGTAAAGAAGTCAAATACTGAATCTGAAATAAGCCAAATAAATGTTGCAAGCCGATATCAGTATTCACTTAGAGTAAGTAGAGATGCAATGTCTGACTTGCCAAATGGCAGTTTTTTTTATTAATACTTTGAATTTCACAATTTACAGGTATACTCATCAATCCTATATCTAAAGTTGCCTCAAAACTTCAAGATCTTGTTACGTGGACTAGAAGTCGAGCCCCACCACATTATTAAGGATTTGTTGTATATTGAGTGTATTAGGTACAGACCACAAGTTGATATAAACAAAGAGGTTTGTATAATAGATACAATCAAAATTATTATTGCTCCATGTTGTATGATTTCTTCACCATTTAACATTTAGTTCGACTTCACTATCATCAAATTCTTGTGCTAATGACTTTTGATGTCCTTGGTTATATGCTTCTAATATTCTTTATTTTGGTTAGTATGAAGATTGAAGTGATTTACACACCTCTGATTGGTGGAATCTGCTTTTCTTTATTTCATTTAGTGCTTTCTTTGTTTGAGATTTACTATTACTTACCTAAAACTATGTTTTAGCAAAGAAGATTCACGTCTATTTTTTTTTCTTACAATTTTACTATTCATTTTCTGATAAGCTTTCCTTATCAAACCCTCTAATATCTGCGAACTTAATTGCCTTATATAATTTAATATTATATGAATTTGTATTGTGGTTTAAGCTTTTGCCTGTTATACTTGAACAAATTGCCAACTCGTTTTCTGCGAGCTATGCGACTGTTTAGTTTTTGAAGCAATTCTCATCATGCAAATTTCACTTGTAACTTTTTTTTAAGCTTGTTAGTTTCCCCTTCATTGTCAGATTAACTTTGTCAAACTCTCTAATTTTCACTAACTGAATTTTCATTATGTCCTTTTTATGAGTTGCTACATGTAGGGCTGTAATCGAGCCGAGTTGAGCCAAGCATGCCATGGACTGGATTTGGCTTTGTCATATTTCGAGATGTTCATGCTTGGCACTTGTTTGAACCGGGCTTTAACATATATGTTTGAAATTGGCTTGTTTAGATTTTTAAAAAATCATACTTGTTTTGTTCATATTAATTGATCAAGTAATTTAATGAATTAATAAACAAGCTAAAATTTTGAGTGAGTACTGGATTTTTCTTGTAAAATTATTAACAATTAATTTTATAAATCTAAAAGAAGTAGCAATCAAATAAATTTTGAATTAGTTTTTAATTATTTTACACCAAATTAATTAAGATATTATATAAATTGCAAGGAAGCTTTATTGCAATCAAAAAATATAATTGGGTATTAGCAAATTATTTCTTGAAAATAAAGAAATAATAAAAAATTGCTTTAAATTAATATGCATATTGATGCTAAATTATAATGTGTTACTACTAATTTTTTAATTAAATATGTTCTACATAATCATATTTTATTTAAATAATATATCATATATGATAGAAGTTGTTATTGAGTTTACAATAGAGCATTAACAACTTATTTGTTGAACAATAAATGAGTTTTTTTATGAACAACTTATTTGTTGAACAGTAAATGGTTCAGACTATGTTATATTTTGTTCATTTAACATTCGAGATCTAAAATGTTTAAACTATTTTTTTACTATATTGAACAAACTTGATTGTGTTTTAATTGAGCCGACTTCGGGTTGTTTATCGACACATTCATTCGTTTACAACCCTAGTTGCGTGTTGAAGTTTAGGCTATTCTTCAGTATTCTTGAACAAACGACTGTGGCACTTTCTTACCTTTTATTCTGGAACAAACAACCCTGATCATGCATTAATAAGCTTTACCTTTCTTTTTCATGACAAGTTTCACCTAGATTTTAAATTTTAGCAAGAAGGCATATACTGAAAATTGATTTAAGATTTTAAAGAGCTAGGCATAAATTTCTGGAGCATGCTAACCTGGTAGATCCTTATAGATCCATTAATGTGCTTTGTTATTTTGAGTTAGGCTTAGTTTTATGTACTGCAAGTCTTTACTCAGCTGCAGAAATTACATAATGGATTGAAAACTCTCAGTTCTTTAATTTTAGACTCCCTGATAAGGATAATGCTGTTCCTGCTTTATTTAGATATTAAATGCTTGCCACGACTGATGTTAACATATATTCGTATCTTTATTCAGGTAATTGTGGACACTACACTTGGATTCATGAAAGGTGCCCCTAGCATTAATGTTCAAGGATTTAATGTATATCACAAGAATCGCCTTATTCTGGTATTTTCACATTGCCAAACTCGGCCTTTAGACCTAAATTATAAAATAGAAACTGTTGCGTTCTTCTTTATCTGTTATATTCTTGGTTAAGGTTTGCCATTTATTGGTTATAGTCTTCACTGCATTGTCCGAATGGCTTATGGGTTTGGATGACACATAAAATCAAAGTTTCATGTTGATTCCTCCCTCTTAATAAAGAAAAGGGAGTGAGAGATGTAGAAAATAAGAAATTAGAAAAACTCCCAAGAATTTTTATTCACTTCTATTGTACAAAAGGAAGGTATATCTAGGCATTAGAAAATACAAATAAATCAAAAAAAAGGAGGGAAAAATAATTAGGGACTATGATCCTATTGTAAAGCACATGATTACAATTCGGGGGTGAAGAGAGACATATCTAACTGTACAAAGCTTGAATTCTTGTGCCTTGATCTAACGATATAGTGCTTTGATTCACGTGCCTTGATCTAATTGTACAGAACCTCAATATGTATGCCTTAAGTTTTTGTTATCATTGGAGTAGAAATTCAACCCTCCCCTAAAACTGGATGGTAGAGATTTACCATTTCAAGTTTGTTTATAATATTTTTAAATGTTTGTGATAACGGAGTTAACCTAAACCACAATCAAAACGAAAATATAAATATGTTATAAACTCCTCAAAACAGGAAATAAACCGAAACCAACATAAAATGATACCAGAGAAAAAGGGCAGATACACACCACCTCGGGATGAGTTAAAATCGAAGCACCTTCTCGCCATCAGATATATCCTTAGAAAGTAAAAAAGGGACGCCAACTGCTGTCCAAACATCAATCTCACCAAAAAGTAAATCTAAAATAGAAGAAGTAACATATAAATAACCATTGATAATTAAGGGGGAACCCCTCACTTGGGCAACAAAACTAGTCCCTGGAGCAAGGGCTGGCCGGTCCCCTTGATCGAACTAGCTGAACTAGTTTAGCAAGCATCTGGATTTAGCTCCTATCTAGCCTCACGTCAATCTCCTGGGGTTGGGGGAGCTTCAATCTCATTTGTCAAAACTTCTGTCAGCCCATTGCCGAGGGCGTTGTTGTAGCCTCTTGGGGCTCAAGGGTCTTCTACAACAGTTCGAAAAACACCTGGATCCCACTGGCGACTACACCATCCCCTAAAGCAGCTGAGGATTTTTTTCCACCTGCGATATATCCATATCAATTTGCTCTCTTTGGGATTTCCTATTGATCCGAACTGAGTCGGAATGTCTCACATATACTGTTGAGTCCTATCAAAGAAATCCCTAGTCAGGTAAACTTGATATGAAGTGAGGGTAGCCTGAACATTCCTGAACGATGGTGACCATGATGGTAAGGTATTGACCTTGATATTTTGATATGCTCTCTGTCGTAACCGTCCCTTGTTTGGAGCTGGCGTTCTAGTGCTATCATCCTCTGTCAGCACCAAAATTGGTTCCACTGATGCTGCTCTTCTTGCAAGGGCACCTGTGATCTCGGGCTCCGTCTCTTCTTGCAAGGGCACCTGTGATCTTAGACCCCGTCAAAGGGAGGAGGACGATGCACTTTCCATCATTGGTGCAGGAGTAGATGTTTTTGAATCCGTCATGCTGCCCTACAGCTAAATTGCCACGGTCTCCTCAATAGCAGGTGATAGGCATCCATGGGTAAGACGTCACACCACACATGATTCTGCAGTTGGCTCCCAATCAAAAAACTACAAGGTACCTTCAATCAATGTTCACTATATTCTCTTTTGTCAGCAATGTGAGAGAATACGACTGAGAGTGACTTTGAGTCATGAGGCCTAATTTCTCAACAATTTGTGTAAGCTCCACATTCTTATTGCTCCCTCAATTGATGATGAAACTGCATACTTTCCAATTCATCGTACAACATGTGTAGAATATGTTCTGGCGAAGCAACTGTAGATTCCTCGTATCCTTGGTCTATAAGACCCGTCGAATCATAAGCATCTCGCTTTCATTCGGTAGAAGATACACGTCACCCCACTCAGTTGTTTCCTCATCGTTAACTTCCTCCATCGTGCCTATTCGATGAAAGACACAACTTGACTCGTTAGGTTGTTGGATCCATAACATCTAAAGCATTTTCTAGTAGGTGCTGTAGTTGGTGTGTTACTCTTCTCGGGCTTCTTCTCACTCGGAGTGACTTTGTCCTTAATTGAACCAGTTTTCTCAACTCCCTGAGGCGTGCTCTTACTGGTGTCTTCAACTGGTGATGGTTGCCTGCTCTGTCTCTAATTTCTCTTCACCTTCATACCTAAGGTCTGGACATATCCCATTGTTCTATATAGCTGTAGCTGCACGACATTGTCGATAGAGAGCTTCAAACGACGAAAATATTTTGTTATGGTATGTTCCTCTGGCTCGATCAACTCGTACTTCATTTGCAACTGGTCAAATTGTGTTGTGAACTCCATTGATATATCTTATCTCTCTGCAGTTGGTTGTGGTCCCAGGAACATATTTGTAGGTAATGAAGAGATGTATTTTCTCTATTCGTCTTCCTCATCTTCTTCCACTTTGTAGCCTTGTCACTGCTTTCTCTCTTCTTGTGTCTCTGCAGGTTTTCCTACCACAAAGTGGCTCTCTTTCTCAATTTGATGACCGCTAATTTGACCATATTTTCTTCTGGTATCTCTTTGTTCTCGAAGATTCTTTCAACTGACAGCTTTCATTCGATAAAGTCGTCAAGGTCCATACCTCTATCTAACTCTAGTAGATCCACTTTTATTCCAGAGTCCAAGTGTCTCCATATGTGGCCTCTTCTCTAGGTCTCCTCTGATACTAGATTCTAAAGTGTCGTGGCTTTTCTTCTTCATCACTAAAATCCTTCCCATGGAAAGGGTTGAAATTTTTGTCGCTTTCGCCCTTTTGGCTTTTATCTGTCACGATTGAGGGTAATTTTCCATTGGATTTCATTCTCCATGTCCGTAAGCTTTCCCTGAAGCTGATGGATCGCCCATTGTATCTATTCCTGGGTATGCACGAACATGTATCACTTTGGTGACATGATTATGATTTGGCTTTTGAAGGTGTTTGTTGATAGGAAAGAAGAAAATTTAGTGGAGAGGCAAGACTGATGCTAGGAAACTTTAGGATAGAATCAGGGTTATGCTAGCTTTGATACCAATTGATACCGGAGTCAACCCAAGCCACGATCAAAATTGAAATATTATTGTTGAAATTCAAATATTTTAAAACGACGACTCCTCAAAATAGTAAATAAATGTTCATTGACATAGAAAGATACCCTAGGGCAACAACGAAGGCAATGGGATGTGTGGCGGTTGGTATGAGATGGGTTGGCAACAGGGTGGCTGGAGATGGATTGGGTGACCATCTAAAGGCAGCAGGGAGAGGGTACGTTGTTGTTGTTTGGTTGTTGGTGAAGTATATGGGTTGGTTTAAGGTGGAAGGAAGGTCAGTTGGACAATAGATGCAGGAGAGAGGTTGGCTGTCTTGTAGAAGGCAGTAGGGAGGGGGAGAATACGACTGGGGGGAATATATGGCAGTAGGGAGTTGCAGGCGAGATAGCAGACATCAGGGAGATGCGCGTGTAGGAGGGGCTTTGGCTGAAAATAGGTGGATGGGGGTGCATGGAAGATGACACCATGAAGAAAAGGGGAAGATACACACTACCTCTTGATGAGTTATAGCCGGAACACCTTTAAGTTGTTGGATATAGCCTTAGAAAGGAAAAAGGGACGTCGACTGATGTCCAAATAGAAATCTCAACAAAAACTAAACCTGAAATAGCTGAAGCCACATATAAATTGTAGTAGATAACTAAGGGGGATCCCCTCACTTGGGTGACAAATCTAGCCCTGAAACTAAGGGTCGACCGGTCCCCTTGATCCAACTAGCTAAACCGATTCACCAAGCACCCGACTCAACTCCTTCCTAGCTCCACGTCAGTTGGTTTGCAGTGTTCTTTGGTGAATATACCAAGTCAATTGATTTCTTGTTAGCACATATGCCACTTTCTAATTTCTCTTTTATAAAGTGCCTATCAAATTCAACATGTTTGGTATGATCATGTACAAAATTGTGTGCAATATTGATTGCTGATTTGTTACACAATATTATTTTATAGGCTCTTTTTACTTGATTTTTATATCAGATAAATATAATTTTAACCCATAGAAGCTTACAAATATCTTGTGCAATGGCTTTAAAACCGACTTCAACACTTGATCTTGAAATTACAAATTATTTCTTGCTTCTCCTGGTTATGAGATTTTCAATTTAGTGTGTACAATATTTTGAAGTAGTCCTATCCACCGGTGATTCTGCTTGGTCTTCATCTGTGTATCTTTCAAGGTGTAGGGTATCATGTCTTTTGTATAAAATTTCTTTTCTTGGGCTTGATTTGAGATATCTAAGGATTCTATAATTGGCTTGAAATTGTGACTCTTTACGTTTGTACTTGAATTTACTAGCTAGCCTTTCTGCAAATGCGATGTCAGGATGAGTGTGAAACAAGTAGATCAATTTTCTCACTAAGCTTTGTTATTATTCCGTATCTATATTAACTTCCTCATCAAGTTCCGATTTTTGTCCTGGTTCAGTTGTAGTTTCACATGACTTGTGCTCTCCTATTTTCATCTCCTTCAACATATTAATAAAATATTTTTGTTAGGAGAGAAATATTCCCTTTTTAGGTTTAGCCATAATTATTTCGAACTAGTAGTTGAGTTTTCCTAACTGTTTAATTTTAAAATTTTCAGCAACTTTTTCTGAGAATTTTATTTCTTGACTGTCATTTCTTATAATATTCATATCGTCAACATATACATTAAGAATTGAGATTTTGCCATTAAGAGAGTGTTATATGAAGAGAGTATAATCTCCTAGGCTTTGTTTGAATCCAACTCCTTTTATAGTCATTGCAAATCTTCCCAACCAAGCACTTGGTGATTTTCTTTGTCTATATAGGGTTTTTTTAAATCAACATAGTTGATTCTTTTTAAAAGAGCTATC